TGTGGAGCTTGCTAAACCGAGAGGAGCTGTGAATGCTGTCAAAAACAAAGAAGAGTGCCAAGAATTTGCAAAAATAGAAACCGATTAGACACATCTAACCTGTGAATAAGATGATTGTTTTTTTTTTCCCCACATACAGTCCACAGACGTGCTTTTGATTGCTAAATCAAACTATCACTGAGATTTTGCTGTAGGCTGTTTACTCTACATTATCATGCAATAAAATCCAGACGTGCTTTTGATTGCTAAATCAAACTATCACTGAGATTTTGCTGTAGGCTGTTTACTCTACATTATCATGCAATAAAATCCCAGTACTGCTCAAACAAATGAAAGATTTTACTCCATGACACTCAAATGATCTTGTACTGTCTGTCTCTTATTTTAGATTTTAATAATTTATAATATATTCATCATAAAAAAATCATAAATACTAATGCTGAATTTCTGACCAGAACTCCAGGAGACTCCCAAAGCTACAAGATCCCTGTGTGTCAAATTAACTCCACTAATATAATAGGAAATCTAGTAGGAATATACAGACTTAAAACAAAATGAAGTGCAAAAACTATACAGATCGTTTACTTAAGTAAACGTGATGATAGTGCAATGGTAAAAGAAAAGTACAAAGTAACAGTCTTGCATTATCTGTCGTAATTATTACTGATGTATTTAGTGTCCAAGTTACATTTTAATGGTCTATTTGGCAGATGTGGAACTAAATTTAACTACTTTATATAGCGCTGGGCTCAAAAGATTCAATCTTATAAAATCCAAATTCCATTGAAAACAGACTGAAATACTCTTACTGGATTGTAAGGTTTCTTTATATTTTGAGAAAATAATTGATCTTCCTACCCTATATCAGCTAGAGACTGATAAAGGTAAGAAGTTTTTTGCAGGGAGCAAGTGGATCATAATTTAAAAGGCCTTTGTTCATAGAAATCCTATAGTACAATCTTAATTATTAAATAACTAAAGTTCTTATAAAATGTAGTGGAGTAAAAAGGAGCCTATAGTAATTTCCTATAAAATGTGGTAGAAGAATAAAGTAGCATGAAATGTAAATACTCAAGTACCTCAAAACTGTACTTACAGTTGTTGAGTCCTGTGATAGACTGGCGACCTGTCCGGGGTGTGCCCTGCCTTTCGCCTGCTGTCAGCTGGGATATACTTTTGCCATCAAGGGGTGGACTTGACCTGCAACACTGTTTGGGTGGGTGGTACAATATGTGGAAAAGTAACATCCACATGAATACCAAGACCCAAAGTTTCCCAGAGCATCATTCTGCCTCTGTTGGCTCGCCTTCTTCCCATAGTGCTTCTTAGTTCCATCTGTTTCCAGGAACCTAGAACACCCCCACAAGACAATATCTCATCTCCTGACGGGTGTAGCACGATAATCCTTGTTATTCACCTCAACTGCCAATGGTCTTAAGGACAATATCTACAGAATGTTATTTTAACTTTGTACTTATTTGTTGTATATACCTCAGTTAAATTAACACAGCATACCTGAGGCCAGGTGCTATGCTAGCACAACAATACAGCTCCATTTTACAACACATCAGCTCTGGGTTACATAGTTAAATGTGAAAAGCTTTAGTACACGTGTGATCAAGATGATCTACCAGACAAACTAATGTCCTGTCAATATGCAATATAAGAACAGGTTCCAGTGCAGCCAAGCATTGGGCACATTTCCCCCATCAACATGTGATGACAGGAATCCCACACAGAAACAACACACACACAAAACACTTCATGAAAATTTGACATTTTAATGGAAACTAAAATTGTGAACACTGGAGCTTTTTTAAATTGACTATTACATTGCTTGGAATTTGAGGGTTATTGTCATGCTTTAAAAAAAAAAACATTTTAATGTGACATTTGTTAAATTCAGAACAAAAAAAATTAAATAATCGGTCTGCTCACTTAAAGTCAACTTGTAAGACATTTGAGAAAGAAATGCTATTGCCTCTTATTATGGGGGGCACGAGGTGTATCAGTGATAGGAGTAGACAAAAATGCATTAACAATCACAACAGCTATTTGAAATGATGCACAAACAAAAAGATGACAACATATCGTTTACCACTCATGACTGGATCCTGTACAGACATGTGTTGCCCTTTGTTTATGCTCCCATGTGTGGAATCAGACACACTTTACCTATCGGGTGTCAACGAATACAACTAAAAACACCCCCAAAATGAAAACATTTCCACAAGAGGCAACAACAATTTAAATGAAGGCCAATTTTTAAGTCGAGCACAAACACCAAGTCCAGAATTTCCCATTACAGACTGATTAGTGGATGAAGAAGCAGCACTTTCGGTATTTGTGTTATCTTGTAAGATATCTCCTCTCTCTCATGACCCTATAGTAAACACACTCAAAGGGACACTCAGCTGCTACAGTAGTGACTTCTCTTCCTTAAAAACAACCCTCCAAACGTAGAAGAATGTCAGGAAACTGGTTATGACATCATCAACATCCCCCGTCTGTGCGTTTGTCATTCAGTAGCTGAATATCTGAGTAGTGTACCTTTGGCGAAAACAGATTCAGAGTTGTTGAGCTGCACATTAATACCTCGCTCCCCCTCACACTACAATCAACAACTACTACAAATAAAAATATATTAAGAGGAACTCTGGGATGCAGTGTATTCCAATGCTCATCACAACTATCTGCAGAAATGCATTAATTTGTATAAAATCTGCTGGAAACACGTAAATTCAAACATAACACTGGTGCTAATGAGTGGGGAAAATAGGTCTACATCAGCCTTATTCAATAATTAATTCATCTACAACTCATCAAATGAGACAATTTGATTTCATCTATCAATTATTCCTTTTAGTCTCATCCTACTTGTGCATCTAAGGATAAATTAACTCAAAAATCACATGATAGTAATTTGTTAAATCAGTTCGAATCAATTAGTGTATGCACTACTTCAGATGTGAACTTGCCAGTGGACTGGCATGAATATACACCAGCAAGTGGCTGTTCTCTCTCAATCAAACTGATTTTGGCTTTAGGTCATACATTTCTGAACACAAAACAGGAAAACAAAAAAAAAAAAAAACAACAAACAAAAAAACAAACAAACTACAAAACACATAAAATGCTCATTGTTTTCAGCTGCGTCCATGTTGCTTAAAAGAAGCAATTAAGATTAGCTGTGAGAAAACTTCAACGCCATTGCAAACTTTAAACAA